GTGCGCCACCACCGCCCGGCAGGGGGGAGATGAGCAATTTTTTAAACTTATTTATTTTTTATTTTGAAGTAATTTTAAATTTTTAGGAAGTTACAATGAGAATCAGGGCATCCTTCATCCATTTCCTCCAGTGGTCACATCTGACGTACCTATAATACAATACTAAAAGCAGGCCATTTTTGCAGTACAGAGTAGAGATACACTTCTATGTCATTTTATCATATTTGGATTCTTACAACTATCAAAGTCAGCACTATAGAGCACCAGAACAGAGGAGCTCACCAGGTCCCTTCCTTCCCTGAGGGTTTCTAAACAGTTAAAGTCCCTGGGGACTGAGCATAATGACATATGCCTTTAATCCCAGCACTCTGGAGGCAGAAGAGACAGGAGGATCTCTGAGTTCAAGGCCAGCCTGAGATGACCAGTTTTTAGTGTCTCTGCATGCTACAAGATTGTGTGGCAGTGCTCACATAGATGCTGGAATATTGGTGCTCTGAGCTGTTCCTGGTAGGTGCAGAGGGTCAGCGGAAGCAGTCTTCTGAGACAGTCAGGAAGTCAGAAGAGCCCATGATTGCCTCTGCAGCCTATGCTCCATGCAGGGGTGCTGTCTCCAGATAGTGTGTTTGTGTGGAAGCCAGGACTGAGCTAGCTCAGTAAATGGACTGTGGCTGTAGGCTGTGAGCCCCGAGACCCACGGGGAAGTCTGCTTGCTCTCAGCTGAATTGTGCTGTGTATGAGGGACGAGTAGAGGACAACCTCAGGTGCCATCCCTTGTTTTCTGAGATAGTCACTCGCTGCCTGGAGTTCACCACGTAGGTTAGGCCAGCTGGCTCGCAAGCCCCAGGGTCCCCGTGTCTCCACCTCCGAAGTGTTGGGTTTACCAGCGTGTTCCATCAAACCTGGCTTTCAGGTGGTGCTGGGGTTAGAACTCAGGTCCTGGTGCTTGCATGGGTATCTTTGCCAACTGGACTGTCTCCCAGCCCTAAAAGTGCACCTTCATTGTGTGCCCCACATTCCAGCCTTCACAGTGGTCCTTCACCTTCACACACTTGGTGTAGGGAGCAGGTGTCATAGTTTCTTGTTCCTTCAGGTCATTGTGGCAGGAGGTTCTAGGAGATTGCACACTGTCCACCAGACACTGGGAGGTCCCTTGAGTCCATGGGCTCACTCTGTCCCAGAGGTGACTCACAGGTCATGTCAGTGAACTCTGCCGCTTCCCCTGGTGGCATATGGACAGTAGGTGACTTTATCACATGCCTTAACCAGAGCTGGGCACAGTCCAGCCAAGTCATGAGGGTGGGTAGGGTCAGTGACTCACGTTCCTGTTTACCAGGCACTGATGACTAGGTGGCAAGCTGTTTGTGTGTCATCTGGACCTTTCCTTGTGCCCATGGTGAGAAATGTCTGGAGATCACATAGGAATGCTTTGTTTCTTGGTGGGCACATCAGCCAACTGAGGCAGCCCTCCTGCAGACAGCAGGGCACAGAAGCCTGTGACCCCTGTTTCCATCTGATGTCAGCCGTCCCATCCCCTCTGGCATGGATCCCTCCCTCAGTGGTCCTGGCTTAGAGTTTTGCCTCCACACCCTCCAGAGCACCCTCAGTCTCTGGCTGGCACTCAGCACTGGGGTACAGCCCCTCCACTGCCGAGGGCATCTCGTCCTGTTGGTAAAGCCACTGAAATCAGAGAGGCAGCCCCAGAGTGACTGCTGGGATCCTTCCTGCCAGTTTCCACCCATCACCTGGCTCTGAGGGGTCAGGTGGGTCCTCTCCCATGGCCATGTGAGGTCCCCCCACCCCCATCTCACCAGCTTCCTCTCTTGAGGGCCCTCCAAAGCTGGTGGTGGCCTTTTTGTGTCTGAATCCCACTAGACAACCTTGGGTGGTTTACCGTTACCTTGTATACGGTCCTGTCCCCATAGTTCTTGTCCTCGCCAGTGTGCTCCCGCTTGTAAACACATTTTACTGTGTGTGTGTGACATTTGAGTGTGAGTGCTGGTGTCATCCTATGTTCATTCTTTCAGGATGTGCAGGTGCCCGTGTGTCCCCTCTGCAATGTCCCCATCCCTGTGAAAAGAGGTGAGATCCCAGATGTGGTGGTTGGAGAGCACATGGACAGAGATTGCACCTTTCACCCTGGGAGGAACCAAAAGGTGAGACTTGGGTTAGGGCTAACGTGTATGCGCGCGCGCACGCGCGCGCGCGCACACACACACACACACACACACACACACACACACTGCTGCTGCTGCTGCTGCTGCTGCTGCTGCTGCTGCTGCTGCTGCTGCTGACTACATAGTCAGTGTTTGCCTCTAACCTGGCAAAACCTGTCTAAACAGAACTTGGCATCCTCATTCTGAGTGACCAGGACCTGTTAGCTTTTTATTTTACCTTTTAAAAAGCCAGATGTAGTGTGTGCCTTTATTTCCAGCAATTGGGAGATGAGTAAAGGCCAGCATGATACATAGCAAGCTCCTGGCTAGCCAAGGCTACATAGTGAGACCCAGTCTTTAAAAGCAATACATAAAATTTTCATTTTGGTTTGTGTGTGCACATGTATATTTGTGTGTATGCATGCCCTTGCATACATGTGTGGAGGCCAGAGAATGTCTCCTGGCCTGCTCTGTCATCTCTGCCTCATCCCCTATGAGGGTTTCTTGTTGAACCTGGAGCTAGGCTGACAACCTGCAAGCTTCAGTCACCACCCCCTGTCCCCCACAGGGCTAGGTTTGCGGGCATGTGTGTAGCTGTGCGCAGCTTTTTACATGGGTGCTGGAGGTCTGACCTTGATGTGTAGGCCTTTACAGGTTCTCTCACCCACCAAGTCATCTCCCAGCTTCAGGTGGTGGTTTCTGTTGCTTTTGTTTTTATTGGGCCGTGTTGGGGAATGAATCTACTGCTAAGCCACAACCAGAGGCTCTGTGTGAGTGTGTGTATGTGTGTGTCTCCATGGCACACACATGGAGTCAGTTCTCCCCTAACTCAGCCTCTTTGAGTACTTAGAATCTGGGCCTGTGCCACCTGGCCCAGCTGCCAGGGCCAGTTTGAGCTGAACTGGTGACATGCTGCTCACAGAAGTGACTTTGTTCTTGCAGGTTTTCACACACCGATGCTCGAAAGAGGGATGCAAGAAGAAGGAGATGCTGCCGCTGGCTTGTGCACAGTGCTATGGCAACTTCTGCATTCAGCACAGGCATCCTCTGGACCACAGCTGCCAAACTGAGAGCAGCGCCACCAGCCGGGGGAGGTGAGTGAGCCCAGGCTCCGGGAAGTTAGTCCTGCAGCTGCCCCACACTGGGGACGCCAGCATCGGGGGTTTAGTCTCGTGGGCCAAGAGCGGAGTTGGCAGCTGGCTGACTCCTTCTGAGAGGCACAACTTGCTCTCCCAGCTTCTCACAGTTTCTGGCTTGCCTGGTGCTCCCTGGTGAGCCTGGCTTCGTGGGCACGTTTTTCCCATCTCTGCCTTCGTCTTGGTGTGGTTTTTCCTAGAGCCTGTCTGCCTCTTGCTTCCGCTGTTAGGGCAGATCAGTTGTATGACTGATGCTCAGTTTGGTCATCTCAGTGAAAACTTGTCTCTAAATGAGGTCCCTCCTGGGTGCTAGGGGTTAGGTTAGGACATTGGCATGTCTTGTGGAAAAGGGCACAGAACATCCTTATTGCCACTTTAATAAGAAGTAGAAACTTCTATCTTAACACATAACTTACTGTGTGTGTTTGTGTGTGTGAGAGTCACCCACCCCATGTGCATGGATATTGGTCCTTGATTCCTACCTTGTTTGACACAAGGCCTCTTGTTTGCTGTGGGGTGTGCCAGCTGACTTGAGAGAGCTTCCCTGGAGGCTCCTGCCTCCACCCCGACCCCATATCCCTGTAGGATTCCTGGGATTTCGGACACACTGGCATCTGGCTTTTACCTGGGTGCTGGGAATTCAACAAGTCCTCAGATTTGTGTAGCAAGCGCTCTCCTGGGCTGTCTGCCAGCCCCATGAGTTACCTTTTGGTTTTTAATCTTTTATGGGGAATAAGAGGATACACACAGTACAGCATGTATACATATATATGGAGGTCAGAGAAGAGCTAAGTTACTTTGTAATTACACTTGACTTTCTCAAGCCCAACCATCTAACTACATAGACATAGGTGGAATTTCTTGATGTGGGTAAGAAGGTCTAATAAATACACATCTGACTTTCTCTCTAGGCCTTCAGCATCCAGAGCTCCTGAGCAGAAGCCATCGGGAATCAGCTGGTTGGCCCAGCAACTCAGGTACCAGTCTAAATGACATGTGAGACTTTAGTGGTGTGCTTCCCTAAGAAAGGCCAGGCCTGGCCACAAAGCTGTTTCTAGAATGTCCCGAGTATCCCTGAAGGCCCTTTTTCATGACCGATCCCTTCTGTCTAGGCAGTTCCGACATGTGTGCTCACCCATTGCTTCTTTCTCTTCTCTTCAGGTGGACGGTGAAGTGATGGCGAGGCTCCTGTCTGGGCCTCACACCAGCTCCTTCCTCTTGGGTTTTAACCTTGGTGATGTGGCCTCCAGTGCTTTCCTGACTCTCCTGGTAGACTGAGTCTTCATGGAAAAGTCTCCCATTGACTGTTCAAGTTAGGGCAGGGATGGCTCAGTGTGTTAAGTGCTTGCCTCACAAGATGAGGACCTGGTTTATTCCAGGGCCCATGTTGTTTTTTGTTTTTGTTTTTGAGTGGGGCCGGGGGTTTCCAGACAGGGTTTCTTCTCTGTGTAGCTTTGCGCCTTTCCTGGAAATCCCGAGTGCTGGGATTAAATGCCTGCACCACCACCGCCTGGCCAGAGTCTGTTTTTTTTTTTCCCCCAGAGCTGAGGACCTTCTAGGCAAGTGCTCTACCACTGAGCTAAATCCCCAACCTTCAATAGTCCATGTTTTAAAAAGCCAGACGTGGAGCTGGAGAGATGGCTCAGAGGTTAAGAGCCCTGACTGTTCTTCCAGAGGCCCTGAGTTCAATTCCCAGCACCCACATGGTGGCTCACAACCATCTGTAATGAGATCTGGTGCCCTCTTCTGTGTATATAATAAATAA